AAAAACAAATTTTTTCAACACAAGTACGTACTAAGCTGGTAGTTTTTGCATAAATTTCAATGTGTCACTCAAATTTCAATTCCGTATTAAAATATTATAGGAGGTGCTTTTTACGGCTCAAAAGTTTATATTCATATAATTTCTGTACGGTTTATTGAATTGACAAAACCCACATCACATTAATTAGGATCTTTATACCTATGTATTTTAATCGCAAACAGATTCGCAGAGAGAAACAGCTTTTTCTATTAATAAAGCTCAGAAATCGTAAGCTTAACAACGATAGCTTTTCTAATAAATACTCAAACAAGTATAGAGGTGTTATATAATCTGTGGTAATACTATAATGAGTGTGGCAGTGAGGCCGGGTCGTGTCGGATTGGACTGGGAATCTATCTAATTGGGCAGCATTCCATTCCTCTCCCGGCCCTACATAACGATCATCCGATGACTATGCCATTTCTGGGATTCAAACGGCTTTGTATGGAAGTTTCGACGAATTTTGCACGCTCCGTGCTCTTATTGATGGACAGACAGGAATGGAATGAGTCAGATGTCCGTTATTTCACCAATTTGTCTAGAAAATTGGTCTAAAGTTATTTAAAGCCAAACTAATATTATAAATGCGAAAGTAAAAATGCACGCCTGAACTACTGAACCGATTTATGTGAAATCTAGTATAGACATAATTTGGAACTCGAGAAAGGACATAGGATAGTTTTTATACCAAAATCTGCAGGAAGTCACTATTCCACGCGAACGGAGTCGCGGGCAAAAGCTAATTTAAAAATACTTTGTGAAATGTTAAAAGTCGCTCATTAAATACTCGTTCTTATTACAACGCCGTAAAACGTTAATTGACTTTTGCATTTAACAGCAAATACATTCGAACATCAATTAAAAGATAAAAGAACAAAACGTGCAACAATTAAAAATAAGACATCGATATGGTATCGAGTAGGTATAAAGTAGAGAATCGAACGCATCGAGATCGCATCGGGTCGACGCACCGAGCGCTGCAATAAAACGAAACGAATGCGCCTGCGCATCGTGCGGTAATCGCGCGCCTTTGATGTTGCCGACAGATCCCCCCTCCCCCTCCCCACAACGCACTTAACTACGACTTTATTACTCGTAATTTGTGATTGTGAACGGTATAATTAAAGCACAATTAAACGTCTACTACGCCAGTAATATGGGAAATGGCTGCCCTTTGGTTGGTAAGAGGTATGCGTGACGGATTCGCGGCGGCTTTTGATTGGTTTAATTAAATATTTTTATGTTTATAACCAAGTTTATTTATTATATTCAAACCATTTAAAACGATTGCATTGATGAGTCTACTTAACCTCAAAGCGAGTCGAAAAGATGTAAAGTTTTTTTCAACACATTTATAACAATATCATTCAAGTGTTAAGAAATTATTTCAAAACCGCAACTACAACAGAGAAGTGTTTGAAACAGGTCGCTTTATTCGTATTTAATACGAGTGCCCTTTCAAAGAATATGTTCAACGCCAGAAACCATCCATCATAAGTTTTTGCATGACACATAGGGCTGTAATTATAGTTCTGTTTCACTATGTGATAGTTTGAGTCCAAGGCTGAGAATGGCCACGACTGCCGAAGACAAGGCCCGCGGCGCTTGCGCAGTTAAAACGGCAAAAACGAACCGGAGAACTCACAAATTGCCGCCCCTAATTACCCCAGGTAGGCGGCCGCACAAAGTGCTGCGTTTTTTTAATACAAAAAGTGCTAAGTTATTCAAAAACAGGTCGAGCGCAGCAATAAATATGATTCCGAGCTCCATCACATGAATAAATTAAGATTTAACCTCGCATTTCCGAAATAATATTACGAAAGAAAAAATCGATCAAGTTTTTGCAGAATTAATTAACTATAACTCACGCGCACCTTTGTCCACTGACTTTTATGTGGCAGCTAACTACGTGATGGCGAGCAAACGTACAAATTGCGATAAAAAAATATATCAGACGAGAATATTATTGAGGTACAGATGCGATATCCGTCAAAATTGTTTCGTAGGGAGCGTCGGACGAAAATAACGAACTCAATAATAAAGAAAGAGGATTAAACTGCATCAAAACTTTCTTTCATCCGTGAGACACCGGGCCTTTTATGATCCTACAATAAACTCGCATACCTGCGCTAATGATAGGGTGCCGGTTCAAAGAATATCGCTCGCGCGGGGACTTCTCAATAACACCTCCCAAACTGTACCTGGCGCTGGTAACAACGAGACCAATTTTAACACAACCCACAAAGGCGCCGCCAATGTAAGGAAATAGGTTATCGAGATAGCACAACTCTATTATCGCTATTTAAAAAACTTTATTGTTTTACTATCACTGATAATTTGCATTACAAAAGCATTGTTCGAAGAAAGCAAGGTTTATGAATATTCAAAAACGAACTCTTTGTTTATTAGTTTTGTCTCGGTACAACAGCACCGTACCTGTTTGAAGAGTAACTATAATTAACAGTGTTTGTTAAACAATTCTACATCTAGGTTTCTGGCGAGTTAGTGTTTCATTTGGGAAATTAATTGCACGCTACATCATAAACTGTACATGTTACGTGCGTATTTACCGGAGCGGTTTGTTATTCCAACGCAGTGTTAATAGCCAGAGGTAAAGGTGTGGGTGCCTTAAAATTGGCTCATTACCACCTTCCAGAGCTAAAAGCCGGTCTTTGTTGGCCTTGGACGCCTGTTTGTACGGGATTTAGAATTTGAACAAAAATGTAGAGGAAAATGTATTTGTCGAAGTGGAACCGACATTTGTTTGCGGAACCAATTCACTTGAGGAAGCTCCATTAGTACGTGCATTGAAATGATTCTGATTTAAAAATGGACGGTGCGGTCTAGTGTTACCGAGACAGTACACAAGTAACAAATCATCGGCCCAGAAATGTGACTTTAATTGCCCAATCTAAAGGTGAACGGCCGGCGCCGGCGCGCCACCTTCGGTGGAGCTCCTCGTGAATGGACCGGCCCATTTCAACTGGTTCAAGATTACAGTCAAGATATAGATGAAGTTATGTTAGACTCACTGGATTCTGGAAACACGTTACACTTTTTTATGTCGAAAGAGGACGTCATTATACCGAAGTACCTAACGACAAAACTGAGATCACTTTGTCAGAGATAGTAGAGCACGTGGGATGGAGATTCCGTGAGCGATTTGGATGTCGCGAGCTCTCGCGGGACGCCGAGCTGTAGAGAAAATTTAGTACAGAACTGTAATAAAACGTGACCGACTGAACACGATGACAAGGAAACGGCGAACAAATCTAATTACAGCACAAGACTATTCACAACACAACTATAAATTCCAACGATTTAGAGAATTTTGTAATCAAGATAATTGTTTCTAGTACAACTCGTTCTAAATATAGCGCAAACGATTAAATTTTTGATCTTAATCAACATAATTATTCACATGAAGCAATCGGCATCAGATCCGATATGATCACCGCCAATCAGGAATCTAATAGAGCACTTAATTACAGCAGATACAATTAAGAGGCGGCCACTTGAAAGTGAGGCAACACACCAATAAACATTTACAACTTTAGTGGAAATTGTGCGTGATGACAGAACATGAGCAATCGTCTTGCTATCAGTGAGCAAATTTCATATATAACTAAAGATATCTGATAAATTGAGTTTTAAAGCGATGCCGCCGATAAGGTGGCATTAACCGATACACATCGGCACTTAAGGCAAAGATAGCACCGATTCGATAAGGGATATAAATAAAAATAAATGGTTGCTCTTGCGTTATGCCGCTCTAAAGATATCACTATCAGCGATAGTACACGTATGGAAGTGTCGGTAGGTAGTGTTTATTGATTTAATGCGGCCACACTAACAACATAATCCTGGTAATTTGCAATATCGTGTGTTTACAACATTGAAAGCTGGATTACTGTGGAGAGCGCACTCCACGATGCAAGAGAAGCTTTTTGCTGGCTGCAACCTCAATACGACTACGGTCGCACACTTTTTGCAGCGTCTACTAGTGCTAGAAACAGGTGTGGTTGTGGGGCGGACGGAGCCGGTCCGCGCAGCTAGCGCGCCGCCGATACAAGATCCAGCCTTTGATGTGCCGCGTGATAAGAGCCCGCTATTTGCTGGCCCTTATCGCTCACGTCTGTCGTTCGACGCCCACACTTTACGATTTATCGCGTAAACAATGGCGAAGACTTTATATGGGACAAGAATTAGATTATCAACGGACGTTTATAATTTGACAACAAGAGTATTTTGGGCTGATGTCATAATACCAAAAGAGTTAATAATTGAGGTGGCCGCCACCGATGATGATGATGATAAAACACATCTGTTTTTTATAATGGTGGATAGTTCCTGAGAAGAATTTTAAATTAGAATCTGAATAAAAAACCGTATAAGTTACTGTCGTGTGAAACAAGACTGAGAATGGCAGTGTGGACAACCCCCCTGATACAGTAGACAATGTAATAGCGAAAGTCAACAATAGGACCCTTCGAAACATCGCACATTACATGTCCAATATCAGTTTTACAAACCATAAAACCTATTCTGCTATCCGTCGTAAATCAAGTGATAACAATGGGGTAGAAATAACATATGATACAAGCCGCTATCGTAATAGAAACACGAGCCAACCCTCTCCTTAGTGCACCATAAAAAATTTAATTTCTTTTAGCAATTTTTTTTACTTTCACGATTATGTTCTTTAAACGGCATTTGTAAAAACTATTTTTTCAAAGAGTTGGCAGTAAATTGCGTTACGATTATTACCTCTTTAACTTTATGTTTGTTATTAAAGTTTAATACCGCCACTACAAATTCACATTTATGGTAATTAATTTAAGAAAAATGTTGTTCGAGTTCTACATTTCCTCAACCTTCATTGGTGTTACTGTAAACATTTCCTATAGACAGACTAACATCGAATAAAGTTGTTAAAACTTTTTAACAAAAAATTCTCTTACCGCATTCTCAGCTTCCTTCTGATCTTTGTGTCCCATTAGGTTTGGCATAGCAGTCCAATTGTATCCCAAATCCTGACATAGTGGCAGCTTGATCCTCTCGCACTTGCCACCTTCACCCTCTTCCTGGTCAGCAGACACCAGCCACACAAACAGGAGAAAACAAAAAATCCGAGCCATTGTATGTTATTCACAAACAATAAATAACACTAGTATATCATGTCATATTCAGGCAACTCAGTCACTAAATCACTGTTGGTAAACACTGATCAATCGTAAACATATTTTATTTAGTACAAAACGAGCGCGCGTCCTTCCCCGTCTGTAGCTTGAAGCAGACTGATTCAAATTTCGAACGCGGCGCGGCGTTTCAATTCAAAGGCAAAGGAACGAAACCGGTCGGCCGGTGCGTTCAGAAACATGCATATGTTCCGATAAAAGGTCTGAACGCATGAACAGGGCATTAAGATGAAAAGAAAAAAACGAAAAGGGCCTAATTCGTGTACGGCTCACTGCAATCAGTGGGAGTAATTTTACTCGTCTCTGTCTTCGGTTGGGGAGAGAGCGGGATGGAAGGAACTATGAAGAACGTATAAAATTAAGTGTATCTGCCCATGAGGTTGGATTTTATTTTACGAAATTGCTGCAATAAAAGTGTTGGTAATTGAGAGGTTCTAAAATTTTATTATACCGCTTCGACGTTGCTACGTTGTAGGTAAGTGTTTGAGATGTGAGCTACACGTTCGAAGGCGTGTAGTTTACAAGTCAGGAATTAGACTAGGTACCAGTTCATGGCCGAATGTCAGCACTGGAATGTGTTTAGGCAACAAATACAGACAGCCTGCTTGTTGGTGTCCTAGATAGAGGTCTGAGTTTAGATTCAGATTTGTAATATCATTGAAGATATTATCATTCATTTTTAATGAGAACACCAACACGCTGTTTCCATAATTACTGCTATTTAATAGATATATCGTAGATTTATCGATTCAGTGTTAACCCTATATAGAATTGTACTATCCCTTCGAATTTTTTACGGTTAAATATCATCAAATCTGAGAGCCGATAATTCGAATCGGGAATCAAATGAACTAATGAAGGCGCTAAGTTCTTCTCTGCCTTTTGTTTTATGTTTTTATTGAATCAATATTTTCGATAAAAATGGCCTCCTGCAGTACAACAGACGTTTATTAAAGTAATTTATTCAGTGAGTACAGCTCATTAGCGTGGTCATGTAACATGCTCTATTGAAATTATTTGCCAATTGAGAAATTGACTAATGGCCTCTTCCTTGTCTTTAATTGTGAGACCCTTTTTTGTCAGGGGAAAATCATCAAATGACTTCTCCCGCCCAGGGCCAGGCGGGAGGGAGTGTCAGACTCTTACTGACTAAAAACCCCCCTGTTCCTTCTCCTGCTCTGGGCCGAGGTCGCGGTGCCTCATTGCGCTTACCCCGCAACCCCGGCTGAACATCAGCCCTTTAGGGCAGAGCAATTGTGAGACCCTGAGGATAGCTTTAACGCAAACTCCTTAACCAATATCAACCCAGAATCGTATATATTATAACCGTATATTCGTTTTTAATTGTTTGAGGAACAAACTAGTTAGTCATAAAATCTTGTTTTAAAAAGTCGCTTAATAAATTTTTATTTAACTCAGTCTGAAAAGAAGAGAATCGGTTGAATATAAAGTGCTGATTTTTCAACAGTTACATAAATATTATCTGAGGAATAAATGTTATTGAGGTATCAATCATTTCGTTTAATTTTGCACAATTATGCCCTGTTCATTGTTATTAAAATTTTAATTAAGTATGTTAGTAGTACCATTGTTCATTCGTCTAAATATTCTTTGGTTCCATTTCATATTGTTTTATACTTTTAACAACGTAGATTTCATGTACTCTTGTAGTAGTGAAAAAATATTTAAATCCAATGTTTCATGTCAAGAAACTGAATTGAAGTTTGACAGAGACAGCGCTATGCTTTCCGCTCGTGCCTTTATCTTTCAGTACAGCGGCGTCCCAAGTAGAATACACAATTAGGTCCCTTCATTACATCACTCCAATAACACCTTTGATACTTCCAAAACACACAATACATTTTAAACTCTACGAGTCTGAGATAGGGTCGACATTCCGTGAGAAGTATCAGTATCTTCCTCGGATATCTTAACCAATATATCTTGATCTCTGTTCATTAGAGAAACTGTTTGATATTGAAAGAGTTGAAGGTGTCTGTTTATGTTGGTGGGTCGGTATGAATAGTTGCATTGTGCGAGCGGGACGGCGTGAGACGGTGTCAAAGGCGCCGCCTGCACGGTGCGCGTACGCCGGCCGGACGCCGCGGGAATGCCTAATTAAGGACGCATGCGTGGACTGTGGGGTGAGGTGTGTGGCCACACTGCTAGCGGGGAGCGAATCTTCGAGGTTAAAGTTTAGTTAAGTCATCTGATAATTCATTATATTATATGTTGTATCTTATAAGTTGGTTAGGTTAATTTTTTTTATTAGTAAATGACTGCTAATTTTATTCTGTTAACTTTTAAACAAATGATAATTCCATTATTAGGTGGAGCAGTTAACTATTTTTTATCTGTTTAAAGCTCCCTAGAAGAGCCCAAGTAATACACATCAGTATTCCCTGAAAATTATTTCATTTTCACCTTTTCATAACCATACTACAGTCTTATGTACTCGATAACAATTTGAAATTCCCAATATATCTGTCTCACTCGAGCTTATGGCGGAAACATAACAAACCCGCTGTCACAGGGACCACACCCAACCCATATACACAACAGAATCGTAATTAAAACGTCAGATATGGCGACAAGCAACACACGACCGTCCGCCAAATGCAAATATCGCCCAATTGTTCGACAGGAAGACATTATTACTATTGGAATATTAATAAACCTTTGACCGACACCGCCCGTCCATCTTTATAAGGAGGTGTCAAGATATGTGTCGCATATGTATTGATTAGCTATTCGATTTATTTTGTTATTGATAAGGACTGCGATCGGTCACACTATTCGATGGCTTGACCTTGAATTTATTTTATCTATACTAATATTATGGAGAGATTTGTTAGTTTGTATGTAGGGGCTAACCTTTGGAATGTTTGGTCGGATTTCCAAAATTCCTTCACTGATAGATAGCACCAATGTTTCTGAGTATTATAAATTACACTTGATTTGCGTATTTTAGTCGACCTATCGATTTGAATGCTTTTGTTTTTAATATCCCGTGATACATTATTTTTATACGAGTGCGAAGTCGCGGGTGGACTTTAGTTTTGCATAAAATCATATATTTTATTAGTCTAAGACAATAGAGATGCACTATGAAATCCAGCCTCTTTATTTCATGTATTGCATAGGCAATTTGATATGCAGTTTATGCCAGTTCTTGTCAGTTTTTGCCAGTAATCGAGCGTCGATAAATCGATGTCGGAAAACTGACCATTTTTCGATAATCGCACTTGAGATGTAGTCACTGTTCAATCGACGAGTCACCATAGTACTCTTAGGTGGTAGTAAGGAAATGATATAACAAAAGTTTGCCTGATCAGAAAATCTTAAGAGGCAGAGGTTTTGGCAGGGTTAGATATCGGTGAAGTTGAGACCACGCAACTAATATTATCGACATATAAAGACATCGTACGTTACTTCTACCACTAGTGCACTTGATATTTTTAGTGTTATTATAATTCTCTTACATACTATACATACTTACATATACATAACGCCAACATAGTAATTTACATGGCGACAGAAGTACCGTTGATTACAACAATCGGACATCATGTACAGCCTAACTTTTATTGCTTCGTAGAAAAGACTTCAACGCGTGCCTCGTAGGCGCATCAACTTACCGCGTTAAGTTACCTTTGAATCGCCTACCATTGTGTTTGAAGGTGTATTTAAAGGAATTGTTATACGCGTATTGTTCTAAATGACCTTGGACTCGAAAATTCTTCTTATCAGTTCCGACAATGTGTGTGGTTTAACAAATACCTAATACTGTAATACATAGTAATCTTTCTTGTCCTTTGTTGTCAAAAAAGTAATTCACAATGTCTTAAAATCACCTCATGTGTGAGAATTTAACGCCATTATTCTTTTTTGAGTTTGAATGGAAGTATGTTTTGCTGCACTTTCACACGTAAATTGGGACACATGGCTTTTTTGGGTATGAAATTGGTGCCATCCATTAAACGCTAGAGGAGTTTTGATGTTGTTGGCCTTTAGGATATTAAAGTATCGAAGGTTTAGAGATTGTTTGAGAAGGGTAAGGAGGTATGGGCCTCTAGTAACCTAACTCATACGGGGAAACGGACAGACTGACTAAGAGACTAGATAAAGTTAAACCTCTTGAAATATATTTCCTCTTTCTTTTTGTTTGCTTGGCGTTCAAAAGTGCCTTCTGTGGTCTAATTGAAATACTACTATAATTTGACTTTGACTTTAAAACACAACGCTGTAGTTGCTTCACGCTTTCTATAAGGCTTTGGTATCACTCCGATCCAGCCGATTCATTCGTGCCGAAGCATGCTCTCACACTTTATGGCGATGTGACATTAAATGTTATTTTGCTGCATTAAACTTATCCCAGAACCAAGCGCTGATAGTATGACAGATTTCCTTATAGAGAAGATGATGTAGACTAACACAGAGTGTTCGTAATAAACTCGTGTTTAATATTATTTTAGAATCTTAAATTTAACTGATGAACGAACTGCCCTACTCAGACGAATTTAATGATTAACTGTATGTTACTTTACTTACTATCGTTTTATTTTTCAAAAAACCTACTTTGTTAAATAACCACCAGTTGGCGTAGTAGCTAGACAACCGTCTGCCGTCCAACGTGTAGTTCATTCTAATCCCGCTCGGAACAATTCTCAGTATGTAACTACAATACAATCCAATTTACAAATTGTTGTTCCGGTAATGTGTATGTGAATTTGTATTGATGTATGTATGTATTTACACTACGGGAAAAATCCTATTACGAGAGAAATTAAAAAATGAGCCTCAGTCCGTAACGTTATTAATGCACAATTTTATACCCTAGGTAATTTTCCCTTTTATGTTATTTTCGCCTCTAAGCTATATAACTACATGTCTGTCTGTCTGTCTGTTTGTTTTTATCATTGCGTAACTACGGTGACCGGCAACCGCAGTCATTACTGTGCAACTGACTGGAACGGGTTCGAGTCAGGGGTCGGTCATATTTGCACACGGTAAGTGTGTTTCATTAATTATATTGATTTATGTCGCTGGCAAGGCGTTTGTTGTTATTGATGATTTTTTATTTGTTAATTTGTGATGAATAAAATGAAATGTAACGATTATTTAAAAA